GAGGCCCTCAGCATGCTCCTCTCTGCCCCACATCCCAGACTAGGACTCTAAATGGTGCGGGTTAAACATGGTCATGGTGGCCACCAAGCAGCCAGCGGAGGTGTGTGGGGTCTGACGGGCCTGGGTCCTGGCTAAGTGGGGCAGGGCCTCCCTTGACCCCAGCTCTGGCTGGGTCTCTTTCTTCCTCCCCCTCTCAGTGGAGATGTGGTTAGGGAATTTGCATTTCTCTACTTCAGCACATTGCGTTGAAACCAGAGGAAGCCAGGATCAGAGGCAGACCATGAAAACGTAATCACAAGAAGGACACACCTGGTCACAGGGGCAGGCTGGACCCCAAGTATATTTCAGGGCTTTGTCCCCGTGAATCAGAGTCATCTCCCACTCAGAACAAACCAGCCTCTCTCCAGGGGAAACTCTGGGACAAAGTGAAGTGTTTCCCTTAAAAACCTTAGGAGGTAGAGAAACAATTTGGATATTTAACTAGAAAACAGAAACTTGAATGTGGGAAGCCTGCCCTACATCCCAGGCACGAGAGGGGCCCTGATGGACTTCGTTGCCTCTCACGATTACTAAAACCTGTAAATGGATATTTATTGGTAAGCAGTTAACATCCCACATTTTCAGAGTTAATTGGAAAGTTCACTTTGTCTGTGACTTTCAGCAAGACCTACTAGGTATGGTTTTCAAAAGAGTCAATTTGCAACGTGGTGACACATACTTGCCTATATATTAGGGGGACAATTCAGCTTAATTATTGCTGCAGCACTGTAAAACTACTTTTCAGCATTCTGAGTTTCCTGCCTCCTAGGTATGACAGCTGCACCTCTCCTCTAGCTCCTGCCTCAGAACTCAGACAATGAAAGCTGAAAATTCAATAAAAGTTAGCAAGAATGAAATAATAAACCTCCACGGCATCTGACAGCTGCTCTCTGCCTACAAAATTAGCAAATACATGCCATTCTTTTCTTTCTGTTAGGGGGCAAGCATCTAAATCAGGAAAGCCACCTCACAATTGGGACTAATTGCCCTGATTCCGGCAGTCCCCGGAAAAGGGCCAAGAACACGCGGCCACAGAGATGAACGCCAGGCCAGCAGACCCTGCAGCTGGGAGGCAGCACTGTGTTGCCAGGAGGTGGAAAAAGTACACAGTGTGGTAATATGTGGCCATCTGAGCTCTCCCTAAAGGCAGCTTAACCCCCTCAGGCCCCACTTGCTGTCTGTCCTTCAAGTTCAAGTCCTCTGACATTGAGGAAGTGCCATTGGCTTCCTAGGTGAGTGGACACTGCTTCCACTCTCTCCTCAAAGGGCCAGTCACCTAAGTCCCTGGCTAGGGGCCACTCCAGCATCTGTGGCCCACAGTACACTGCTGCAGAGGCTCATGGCGGGAACAGATCTCATGGCCCTGGAGTCTAAGTCTCCCTGCTCCCTGGAATGTGCAGTGGGTGCTCCAGCCTCCTGGGAAGTTGCTAAGGCTATCTTGTTGGAAGACTGGCCCCTGCAGGGTCCCTGTTTTGCCTCCCTTCCTCTACCTTCCTGTGTGGGTACATCTTTGGGGGCAAAAGGTAGATGAGGCCTTGCCAGGAAAAGTGTCTTCATGTGAGGGGATGAGAGATACTCCATACACTGTGGACAAATCAACTTCGTTTGGTCTTCTCTTTGCAATTACTTAGTTTTGGGAGCAGATTTTTTTCCCTCATTATTTGGTCTAATAATGGAACAAATGTGGGCAGGTGGAGATTGGCAGGCAACAGGCCATCTGGGGGCCAGCTTCCCCATACCTGTGGTTGGTCTTTGACTCAAATGGAGCCCACAGAGGCCAGTAGGTCCTGAGGCTCTTTCCCAGTGATCCTTGCTTCATTCCTAAGGGTGTACCCAAAAGCATCTCCAGTAAATTAATTTTACGTCAAGCAGCTGACTTTCAAGGAGCTCAAAAACAACAACCCATGTACCAATCTTGCAATCCACGTGCCAACCCTGCACAAGGCCACACCTGAGTAAGACTCACTCTGTCTTACAACCACTTAGGAAGACATTTAATACCAAGCAAGTCAGGGTCTCATTCCCTGAGATTCTCAATAAATTGGTTTGGGTAAGGTCAAGTGCAGAAATTCTTTGCCAGCATCCAGAGGCTTCCACCTCCAGCCCAGAGCATAGCCGCCACAGCAGTGGTGTGATTGCTCAAAGCGCCCACACACCCACCAACCAAAATGTTCTTGGGATCAAGCACAAAGATAACCAGTGCCACACGAACAGAAATGCTTTGTATTAGAAAATTTTCATGTCAAAATGATTCTGTAAAAATATATATTCTGGACAATGTGTAGGCTGAAGAATATTTGAAATTACATTCACAGGAGCTCCACATCCTAAATGAGACTCACTGTGTCATTATTGCCAGTGTGAAAAAATATTACATATTACACTCCTGAAGACCGGAAGATATTTTCAAGACAAAGTTGAGGAGATGACTTTAAGGATTCTGTTGGATGCATCCAAGGTTCCAACCAAAGAGGAGATGACCCACCCTAAGTGTGAGTATATGTCCTCTTATGTATGTACTTTCAGAATTCTGTACCCCAAGATCTCTGCAGAACCATGTTCCCACCTGCACCTTTACTTCCGTGGAGACTTGCATGTACCATTTCCCTTACATTTAGGGCAAGTGTTGAATTTAAGTGCTGGAGCATCTTTCCTTAGCCCTAAATGTATGCAAATCCTGTTGTTAGTTACTTTTGTCTTTGCTAAAACAAAATACCCCAGCATCCACAGCTATGGGAGGAAGGCTGGGGATGTAGCTCAATGGCACAGTACCTGCCTGGCAAGTGGAAGAAAGAAGAAGAAGAAGAAGAAGAAGAAGAAGAAGAAGAAGAAGAAGAAGAAGAAGAAGAAGAAG